GAGATTAAATTAGAAATCAGTAGCAGAAAGATCCCTGAAAATTCCCTGAATGTTGGATTAACAAAATTTAAATTTCTAAATGAAACATGGGTTAAGAAAAAATCAGAAGGGACATTAGAAAGCATCATTAATTGAATAAAAGTAAAAACACAACATGTCAAAATTATGGCATGCCACTAGCTACTACAGTAGTGCTGGGGGTGGGGGGGGATTATATAGCACTTAACGCCTATATTAGAAAAGAAGAATGGTCTCACAGCAATAGCCTCAGCAGCTACCTTAAGAAAAAAGAAAAAGAAAATCAAATTAAACATAACTTAAGAAGAAAGGGAATATGAAAGATCAGAATGGAAATCAATGAAACAGAAAGCAGAAAACCTATTCAAAAAATCAATAAAAGAAAAACTAGTGCTTTGTAAAGATTTAAAAAATGGATAAACCTCTAATCTTACTGATCAGGGATAAAAGTGAGGAGATTCAAATTATCAATGTCAAAAATGAGAGAGCTAACATCATTGCAGTTTCTACAAATATTGAAAGAATAATAAGGGAATACTATAATAAGCTCTACCAATATTTTTAATGATATCATTAAAATGCACAAATCCTTTGAAAGATAAAATCTGTCAAAGCTTACTTGTAAAGAAATAAGTAAGCTGTACAGTTGTATAAAATTTTAGAATAATGTTATTAGTCAAAAACTTTCCTAAATAGAATACTCCAGACAATGATGGCGTTTTATCAAATTGCAAAAAATCAGTAACATCAAAATCTTACAAAATTTTTTTTAGAAAACAAGAGGGAAGTGAACATTACTGAAATCATTATAAGAGACCAGCATATTCCTGGTAACAAAACCTAGCAGACATCACTAAAAAAGAGGAAGACAGGAAGGCAGAAAACTGGAAGGCAGGAAGGGAGGGAGGAAAGGAGAGAGGGAAGGAAGAAAGGCGAAGACTTGTAAAGAAATACTTTAAAAATATTATCTCCAAAAAACCCAAATGCCCATTGATGATAGACTGGACAAGGAAAATATGGCACATATACATCATGGAATACTATGCAGCCATAAAAAATGATGAGTTCATGTCCTTTGTAGGGACATGAATGAATCTGGAAACCATCAATTTCAGCAAACTGACACAAGAACAGAAAATCAAACACCACATGTCCTCACTCATAGGGGGGTGTTGAACAATGAGAACACATGGACACAGGGAGGGGAGCATCACACATTGGGGTCTGTTGGGGGGGAATAGAGGAGGGACAGTGAGGGGTAGAGAGGTTGGGGAGGGATAATATGGGGAGAAATGCCAGATATAGGTGACAGGGGGATGGAGGCAGTAAACCACATTGCCATGTATGTGCCTCTGCAGCAATCCTGCATGTTCTGCACATGTACCCCAGAAGCTAAAGTGCAATAAAACATATATATATATAAATTAACATATTTTATAATTATATGTATATAAACATACATATATATATATAAATTAAAAAAAATACCTCCCAGGGAAATAAGAGAGGACACAAAAGATGGAAAAGCATTCCATGCTCATGGTTAGGAAGAATCAATATTGTGAAAATGGCCTTACTGCCCAAAGTACTTTGTAAATTCAGTGCTATCCCCACAAAGCTACCATTGACCTTGTTCACAGAACTAGAAAAAACCATCTTACACTTCATATAGAACCAAAAAAAAGCCCGAATAGCCAAAACAATTCTAAGAAAAAACAAAACAAAACAAAACACAAAGCTGAAAGCATCACACTACCTGACTTCAAAGTATAATAAAAGCCTACAGTAATCAAAACAGTATGGTACTGGTATCAAAACAGAGAAATAGACGAATGGAACAGAACAGAGCCCTCAGAGGTAACACCACACATCTACAACCATCTGATCTTTGACAAACCTGACAAAAACAAGCAATGGGGAAGGATTCCCTATTTAATAAATGGTGCTGGGAAAACTGGCTAGCCATATGCAGAAAACTGAAACTGGACCGCTTCCTTACATCTTGCACAAAAATTAATCCCAGATGGATTAAAGATTTAAACATAAGACCTAACACCATAAAAACCCTACAAGAAAACAGGCAATAATTGAGGACATAGGCATAGGCAAGGACACCATGACTAAAAACCAAAAGCAATGGCAACAAAAGCCAGAATAGACAAATGGGATCTAATTAAACTAAAGAGCTTCTGCACAGCAAAAGAAACTACCATTAGAGTGAACTGGCAACCAACAGAATGGGAAAAAATTTTTGCACTCTACCCATCTGACAAAGGGCTAATATCCAGAATCTACAAAGAACTTAAACAAATTCACAAGAAAAAACAAACAACCACATCAAAAAGTGGGCAAAGGATATGAACAGGCATTTCTCAAAAGAAGACATTTATGCAGCCAACAAACATATGAAAAAAAGCTCATCATTACTGGTCATTAGAGAAATGCAAATCAAAACCACATTGAGATACCATCTCACACCAATCAGTATTGCAATCATTAAAATATCTGGAGACAACAGATGCTGGAGAGGATGTGGAGAAATAGAAATGACTTTACACTGTTGGTGGAAGTGTAAATTAATTCAACCATTGTGGAAGACAGTGTGGTTATTTCCCAAGGATCTAGAAATAGAAATTCCATTTGACCCAGCAATCCCATTACTAGGTATATACCCAAAGGGTTATAAATTGTTCTATTACAAAGACACATGCACACGTATGTTCACTGCAGCACTTTTCACAATAGCAAAGACTTGGAACCAACCCAAATGCCCTTCGGTGATAGACTGGATAAAGAAAATGTGGCACATATACACCATGGAATACTATGCAGCCATAAAAGAGGATGTGATCGTGTCCTTTGCAGGGACATGGATGAAGCTGGAAACCATCATTCTCGGCAAACTGACAAAAGAACAGAAAACCACACACCTCATGTCCTCAGTCATAAGTGGGAATTGAACAATGAGAACACATGGACACAGGGAGGGGAACATCACACAGCAGGGCCTGTAGGGGGGTGGAGGGCTGGGAAGGGATAACAAGGGATGGGGGTTTGGGGAAGGGTTAACATTAGGAGAAATACCTAAGGTAGATGACGGGGGGGATGGACATAGTAAACCACCATGTCATGTGTATATCTATGTAACAATCCTACACATGTACCCCAGAACTTAAAGTATAATAAAAAATATAATTAAAAAATATATATTTATCAAGTATTGGTGTTGTGGGCTGAATTTTGACTATCCCAAATTTATATGTAGAAGTCCTAATTCCAAGTACCTCAGAATGTAATTGTAGTTGGAAAGAAGTTCTTTAAACAGATAATTGAGTTTAAATTGAGGTAGTTAAAGTGGGCACTAATCCAATATGAGTGGTGTAAGAAGGGGAAATGTGGACACAAATGAGGAGGGAAGATGACATGAAGACACAGGGAGAAGATGACTATGAAGAAACCAGTGAGAGAGGCCTGGAACAGTCATCAGGAGAAGCCAACCCTGCTGAAGCCTTGAACTTGGATTTCTAGCCTTAGAACTGTAAGAAAATTAATTATTTGTTGTTTATGCCTCCAAGTCTGTAGTATTTTGTTGCAAGAACTCTAGCAAACTACTATAATTCACAAATTAAATCCAGCGATATATAAATAATATATTATACTATATTAGGGTTTATACCATGAATACAAGGTGGATTGGTTAAACATTTGAGAATTAATTTATGTAATTCATCATATTAAGAGAATAAATGAAAATAACTATGGGATCATTTAAATAGGTAAAGAAAAAAATCAGCTGACAAAATTTTACACTCATTCATGATGAGGAAAATAATGCTCTTAACTAACTAGGAAGTTACCAAAACCTACAAAGGGCATCTGCCAACAACCTACAGCTAACATCATTCTTGTATTGGCTGGATTATGTGCCATGAGGTAAGGAAAAAGGCAAGGATTTCTGTATTACCACTGCTATTTAACACTGTATTCTGCAGCCTAAGCCATTATTTAAGTCAAGAAAAAAAATTAGAGGAAGAAACACCTCACAATTGCTTTAGGAAGGCAGCATGCCCCTAATATCAAAACTGAACAAGAACATTGCCAAAAAAAAAAAAAAAAAAAAAAAAAAAAAAAAAAAAAAAAACCTTACAAACCAATTGTCATTGCAAATATAGTCTAAAAAATTCTAAAAGACATATTAACAAGTTGAATCCAATAACAAATCCAAGTCCTTGAAGTTCTGTCAGTATATAGATATGGTGTAATATTTACTACGCTTAAAAGTTTACAGATATTTTATCTTAGTATGTCAGAGGTTCATCATTATCTATGCATTCTCCACTCTTTTATTCTCAGTAACATAACATGAATGTGGATACCTGCAATGAGGATTTCTCAACCTTCCTAGCACCTAAGCATGGCAATGTGAAAAAGTTGTAGGTCATAAAATAGAAATGGAATATTTATTGTGCGACCAGCAGAAAATTCCTTTAAAAGATCTGATTCAGCTGGACAGAGCCCCCTTTTACCTGAAGCTTGGACATGATGGTTGGAGCTACAGCAGACGTGAATCCCAAAGTGACACTGAGAATAGATGCCATAAGCTGAGCGTATGAAGGAGCCAAAAGAGGTAAGACTGTTCCTGTGACTGTCCCTGATGAAACAGCTGTGCTGGCTTTCCTGTCCTATATTAGAATCCATTCCAGTGGATTTATTTATTGTATTTTGGTTTTGTGAGACAAGGTCTGACTCTATCATCCCTGCTGGAGTGCAGTGGCATGATCTCTGCTCATTGCAATTTCCACTTCCAGGGCTCAAGCCATTCTCCCACCTCAGTCTTCCTGGTAGCTGGGACTACAGGCACATACCACTAGGCCCAGCTAATTTTTGTATTTGTAGAGATCAGATTTTACCATGTTACCCAGTCTGGTCTTGGACTTGTGAGCTCAAGCAATCCTCCCATTAGGCCTCCCAAAGTGCTGGACTTACACAGCACTCTGGGAGGCCTAATGGGAGGATTAAGTGTGGACCATGACACCTGGCCCATTCCAGTGGATTTCTTACAGGAGAAACCGAAATGTAAATAAAGAACTTCAAAATGCTTAAGTATATACCAGTAGAAAACTGTTTAACTAGATAATAGTATACGGCCATGTAATATATCAGCAGTTTAAAAGAATGATACTGTTTCTATGACTGATGGGTAATAATCTCTATGATATATTACTTAATAAACGATCCAAGATTCCCTGAATCAGTGCAAGTGATAGTTCAAAGCAGCAGCAATTCCATGAAGAAGAGAGGATCTAGCAGAGTTCAACCATATAAACACTGGAGGAAAAAAAATTGAACATGGACTATTCTCAGTACTTAAAAGTAAAACAATTTAAATATCAAAAGGTAAACAGTAGTACTCTTGCAGAACTAATGAAGTTCCTAAATACATATTAGTAAAACCTATCCATGTTGTTTGATCTTAGAGAGTAAAATATAAAGATATCATATAATGTTTTCACACAATTTTCAAGTGAAAATTATTTCAAAACAAAACAAAATGAATATGTTAGCCATTTGACTAATTAATGCAATATTATGATGATAATTATAATTTTTGGTCACATACAAGATATTACTTGTACGTAGTTTTCAAGCCATGTCACAATCAACCATTTCTTTGTATACTATAAGGTTGCCATATTAACAATGGGATATGCAATTAAATTTGAATTTCATTTAAACAATGAAAAAAAAAATTAGTATAAGTGTGTCCTATATATGTGTCTTACACAGTATTTGCATGGAATGTAAGTATATGAAAAATATTGCCTGTTTATCTGACATTTGTATTTGTATTTTCTAAATCTGGCAGCTGCACTACAATTATATGTGGCTACTTATTTTAATTGGATCGTATTTGGATTATTTATCTACTACCAATTATCTAAGGAAAATGAGAACTTTCTAAATTGTAATAGAAGTCTAGAAGGAAGTGTCATCAGCATTTTTTATACTTTATTATCCAAAATTTTATAAACAATAAGTATTACCTTTAAATTCAGAAAAATGGTATTTCAAAGCAAAATAACAAAACATGATATACTAGCCAGAAGTGCCTGGAGTCTAAAGGGAATTCATCCAATTATAAACACAACATGTCTAAAAACAAAAATTGCTGAGGGTTGAGGGATAGGCAAAAAAGCAAACACTATTTTATTTTTATTTTATCGCATTTTTGTTATGGTTTCAGGGAATGTTCTGGTTTGAACTCTGTTAGTTTATAAAAGGTTTGTGCTTTCACATCTAATAAAGTGAGAAACAGAGCTGAACAGGTTGATGAAGGGTAACAGGCTATATGAGTCTAAACATTTAGTAAAGATTAAAATTTGTATATATCAGCATACTTGTAATTATACATGAGAATTAATAAAGACATTCAAAGGAAGTAATATTAAATAAAGAAAGGATATGTGTTGGTATCTTCAGTTATTAAGGCCTACTTGTAAATTTATCTAGGGTTAACAATTTTGAAATGACCCATGGCTTTCTTGAGTACCTAGAATTGTGCTTATAACAGAAAAAGTTATCTCAGGGTTCCCCAGAGATAAAGAACAAAGAGGATCATATCTATATATCTATCTATTATATAGAAATATTAAAGATTTATTAGGGAGATTGGTTCATGTGATTATGGAGATAGAGAAGTACTATGATAAGCCATCTGTAGGCAAGATAACCAGGGAAGATGATAGCATGGCACAGTTCAATTCTGAAGGGCTAAGAACCAGGGAAGGTGATGGTGTAACTCCCAGACCAAGAGTAGGGGTCTAAGAATCTGGAGTTTTGATGTCCGAAAAGGATGTCCCAGCTCAGAAGAAAAAAAGAATGAATTATTCTTTCCTCTCCCTTTTTGTTCTATCTGAGCTCCCAGCCAATTGGATGGTACCCATGTACATGGGGTGAGGGAAGATCTTCCTTACTCAGACACTGACTCACATGCCAATCTCCTACAAAAAACACTCTCACAGACATACCCAGAAGTAATGCTTTACCATCTAACTGGGTATCCCTTAATCCATTCAGGTTGATACCTAAAATTAACCATCATAGTTACCCATCAATGTTTGCTGAGTCACTGATAAATGAATGAACAAGTTGCATAAAGTGGGATGCGTGGGTTTCTCCAATGTTTGTATGCCAGCACCAGTGAATAACCGCTTTGCACGTCAGGTAATATGAGCTATAGAATCTCAGCTCAGCACAATCAGTAATAGAGTGCTGCCTATTTTTACAGAAACAAATTGCTAAGACACATACCATTAGGGATCCTTTTTCTTCATATTTTCCAGATGGAACTGAATATTTAACAATAGTGCCTCAATTATACTGTGTAATATAAAAGAAACTTTCCAAGCTGTTATGTCACAATATCTAGAAGTCTACTTGAAGCCTGCTGTTAAATCATTCTCCTGATGACCTCTCTCACATTAGGCAACACCAGTCCACTAACTTGTTTATTTTTTCCTTATGGCATATCACACTGAGTCATATAGACAAATAGATTCATTTTTGTTAACTTTCTTCATTTGCGTTTTCCCTGCTAGGTAATTTATTCTGTTACCATCATCAATAATTGTATCGGTGCCCATGGCTGATGTAATACAGCTGGTAGTAAAGAGTCTTGCAGAATTGAAGTGGAAAATACAGCATTCGATGATAAGAGTTTAAACTGAAGAATAATGGTTTTTCTGAACTTGTGTTTACTTTTATTAACTTTCCACAATTGACTTTTTCATTTATTTTGTGTTCTCTTGCATTAAAGCTGATTTGAGTTATTCAACCTATAAGACATATTTTCTTGATTATATTTTAGTGAACGATCATTGTGCTAGACATCAACAGAAGAAAATACAAACACATCTTCCTGCATCTTAATTAGCATCAGATTCACCTAGGTAATGATTACATAAATGTAAAATGGAAAAGATTTCATGTTGATCTTCCTCTAAAGGTTTTTAAATTATTTCATACTAAATTTGGTTTTTGCTTTTCAAACGTCATGAGGGAAGAATAATCTGGATCTAGGTACCGATTGTGTCATTTTTACTGTATTGTTGAATATTTCATATTGTTTCTTAAAAACATAATATTTCAGAGATAACATTTAGAAGAGATTTGTTGCCTAGACTGATGCTAGTATTTTTTCTGATGCTATTAACTCTTTTGAAATCTTGTCTAAAGAAGGAAATCCACAAGATTATCAATAACTTTGGTTCTTCTACTTAATATTGGTCTCAGCCATTCTATTCCAAGCATTACTGTCAACAAATGTTTCTTCTTTGGAAAAGCTTTAAGGGTTCAAGCTATGGCAGGCTAGGGATAGAAGTAGCTAATACTAGAGTCTCTTATAAGTCAGAATAAAACTCTCCACAGGATGTCTCTGACTTAGTGCAAAATGAAAACTATGCTCGAACATTCCTATACAAAATAAGGTAATTATGAAGGATGTAAACAACAACCATGCTTGCTTCTAAGTGTGCAAATTGAATCTATGCAACTTTTAAAGTAACATAAGGCCCCAGGTGGACCTGTTGATAAGAGAGGGAGGGGGAGCATGGGAGATGATGTTTGAACCTATAGCATCAGCGGCCTTAGCCTGGATCATATTATTCTTATCAAGCTGAATTTGTGTAAAAATGTAATATTTCCTTTAAACTACAGTCTGTGATCAAGACAAAAATAACATCAGCTCTATTATTTTCCTATGTGTACTGAACTAGTTTTGTGGTGAGATTTATCACCTTCTTGCTTGAGAATTAATGATGTGTGAAGGACTTAATAGCCACACAGTATCCAATGCTCCCGAGGATATCTTGTCGAAATTAAAGCTGTTTTATTTTGGAAATATGTTGCACCATGTGAAATGACTGTGCCTAGGGTGTTTTTTTTTTTATTCTGTCGCTTTAATCTATCACATAAATTAGCTTTTCAGACACTTTAAGTTAACACAAAAATAGAGCTATATCATCGTGAAGGAGAGTTGACTTTTAGATGACCCTGGATCCCAAGGAAGAGCTAAAAGAGGTATATCCATTGAGTCCATAAAAGGTGGCTCTGGGGGAGCCACAACTGGATTGGCAATTATGGATTCAGGGAAAAGGACACATGAAGGTTTAAAGTAGAAAAGATGATAGTAAGATGGTGATCACATGAGGTATTTCTGCAAGACAATGTGACATATTTTCACAAAGTAGAAATGTGTTGTCAGGTGGCTAATAAATCAGTCTTCACACTCCTTTCTGTTTGAAAGTGGCATCTGTTAAAATCACCTTCTCAATCCTTCCTAACTTCCTAATGAAATTTTTAAAAATTCAAGATTTTACAATGCTCAGAAATAGGACTGAGAGTGAATCAGTTTCCAAAATTTGTAAGAAATGTACAGTAGTCACAAAATCTATGGTGCAGCAAATGGCACTAAAATAAAACAGGCAGAGAACCACCAGGGTATGATAAGCTCCCAGTTATTAAGCAGAACCTTCATCAAGAAGGAGAAGGGAAAACCATACCCTGCCTACTAATTTATAATCTACCCTCTCAGATGTGGAGGTGATGCTATCTGAGGGACATGCAACTGGTCCCATTTTTGCTTCATGACAACCAACCTTCAGGAGGCCTTCACTGATGACTCACCATCCTGCTTCACTTTGCGAGTTATTTATTTTCCTACCACCTCCTAAAATACTTCACTCAATCCCCAGTATTCCCTCCCCTCATACTCAGATGATGAGCTTCTCATTTCACAGAATTTTTTTTTAAGGGGAGGAAACTTACATGTTTTCACCACAATTGACCAATCTACTTACAGGAATGTTCATTTATCTTCCTTCTCTGTATTACAATAAACTGTTCATTGTTGTACACTGGGTCCCCGACCTTCTCAAAGATTTGCTTTCTCAATTAGTCCTCCTCTTTCCTTCATTTTCAAATTTCTCTCCCCAT